CTATTCAACATCTTTACTTGGAACTTGGAGAAAAAAAGGCTGAAAGGTGACGTGATGACCATGTTTAAATATTTGGAAGGATGTCACAGTGAAGAAGGGGCGGGCTTTATTTCTGCTGCTCTGGACACTATCAAATCAAATCATTTATTTCTGTCATTGACCAGCACAGGAAATAGAGTCACATTTTCATACAAACTTGGTATGTTTGGTACATTAAAAGTATAAATATAACTAATAAATATGTGAGAGGAAGCCACAGGGAGGAGGGAGCAAGCCTGTTTTCTGCTTCCTTGGAGACTAGGACGCGGAACAATGGCTTCAAACTACAAGAGAGGAGATTCCATCTGAACATGAGGAAGAACTTCCTGACTGTGAGAGCCGTTCAGCAGTGGAACTCTCTGCCCCGGAGTGTGGTGGAGGCTCCTTCCTTGGAAGCTTTTAAACAGAGGCTGGATGGCCATCTGTCAGGGGTGATTTGAATGCAATATTCCTGCTTCTTGGCAGGGGGTTGGACTGGATGGCCCATGAGGTCTCTTCCAACTCTTTGATTCTATGATTCTATGGATATGGGTGAGAGAGCGGAAGGGAAGGGGAAACAGGTTAAAAACATACAATGCCCAGATCCATCACCAAATTGTAGATTCAGGGAAGAAGATTACTGGACACACAGTTAACTTTTGGGACTAGTCATTCCCTGACGGATTTTGTATGCTGCTGCACAGAACTTTGCAACATTGTAGGTTGTAGCTGAATTAATATCTGCAAGTAGCAGGGAGGTATAAAATTGTCCTGAATGGCCTGGGTGCTTGTATATCAGAGGTAAGATAAGCCTGGCACGGATATCCCTGTAGAACGGGCACTGAAGGAGCACATGTTCTATTCTTTCTACATGACCCGAGTCACAGGGGCAGAGTCTCTCTGGGAAAGGGATCTTCTGGTAGTGGCCTTCGAGTACAGCTGATGGGAGAGGATGGCATCGAGCCAGGGTGAAAGCCCTTTGATGAAGAGGAACCTCTAAGTTTGTTAAATATGCCATAGGGGAGGCAAGATATCTGCTGTCTTCATTGATAAGGAAGGTTGGAACCGAGGCCAGATCTAGTTGTCGCTCTGTGTCTGTGATACGTTGTTTAATAAGTGCTTTGGCTTGATTGTAATCCATAGCGAATAGTAGACCTGGAGAAAATCCCAATGAGGAGATTTTTGATGCTACCGCCTGCTTCCATGTGGATTGGAAGTCATCCTCCATGGTTAGTGGGGCAAGACCAAAGGGTGCACGGGATAGTCTGAGCCAGAGGTTGAGTATGGCCACCCACACCCTGGCCTCCACTCTCATAAAGCCCGTCTCTAGTCGCAGGGTGGCATTAGAAACGCATTTAGGTACCTGCAAGGCCGATCTCAGAAACTTTGACTGAACCAGCTCTAATGGGGCAAAACTGGGGAAAGGGCCCAGCTGAGCACCATATAAGAGTTGGGCTAATGACTTGGCTTCAAACAGCTTGAGCGCTGCCGGTGTGAAGTGGCCCCCTCTTGTCCTGAGATATTTAAGAATGGCAATTGAGCTCCCCTGCGCGGTGTTGGATACTTGATCCCCATGAGCTCTTCTGCTACCATTAGATTGGAAAACTACACCTAGATATTTGAAGGATGTAAATTGTTCAATTTTATGTCCATCTATGCTCCAAGAGTAAGTCCTGGGCCTATTAGCGAAAACCATGATTTTGGTTTTATTGTAATTAAGTTGGAGCTGATCTGTGTTGCAATGTTGTATTAATGCTCTCAGAGCTCTTTTGAGCCCAATGGGTGTTCTAGAGAGTACAGCAGCATCATCTGCATAAAGCAGGGTGGAGATGTGTCTTCCCGCCAGCTTTGGGGGGGCTTGGACACTAGGACACAGAGCAATGGATTCAAATTAAAGGAAAAGACATTCCATCAAAACATTAGGAAGAATTTCTAATGGTAAGAGCTGTTCAGCAGTGGCATTACTTACTTACTTACTTAGGCGATCCCTCGTTGGACGAGTAAGATGGTCTTCCATTATGGGTTTCCTTGTGGGTCCGCATGTGGCTGTGGAGCCCTATTCTTGCTCTGCATCTTCTTCCGCAGTGTGGGCATTGGTTTCCAGGTGGAAGGCGGTCCCAGTTATGGGTTGGCTTGACGCGCCTTCCTCCTGGCACGTTTCTCTCTTTCACCCTCCACTCGTGCTTCCTCGAATTCTGCAGCACTGCTGGTCACAGCTGACCTCCAGCTGGAGCGCTCAAGGGCCAGGGCTTCCCAGTTCTCAGTGTCTATGCCAGAGTTTTTAAGGTTGGCTTTGAGCCCATCTTTCAATCTCTTTTCCTGCCCACCAACATTCCGTTTTCCATTCTTAAGTTCAGAGTAGAGCAACTGCTTTGGGAGACGGTGGTCAGGCATCCGGACAACGTGGCCGGTCCAGCGGAGTTGATGTTGGAGGACCATCGCTTCAATGCTGGTGGTCTTTGCTTCTTCCAGCACGCTGACGTTTGTCCGCTTGTCTTCCCAAGAGATTTGCAGGATTTTCCGGAGGAGCGCTGATGGAATCATTCCAGGAGTTGCATGTGACGTCTGTAGACAGTCCACGTCTCCCAGGCATATAGCAGGGTTGGGAGGACAGTAGCTTTATAGACAAGCACCTTGGTATCCCTACGGATGTCCCGGTCCTCAAACACTCTCTGCTTCATTCGGGAAAATGCTGCACTTGCAGAGCTCAGGCGGTGTTGTATTTCAGCGTCGATGTTGACTTTGGTGGAGAGGTGGCTGCCAAGGTAGCGGAAATGGTCAACATTTTCTAATGCTACACCATTAAGCTGTATCTCTGGCATTGGGGAGGGGATGGCTGGTGACTGCTGCCTCAGAGTGTGATGGAGTCTCCTTGTTTGGATTCTTTTAGAAGATCATCTGTCAGGGGTGCTTTGATTGGGTGTTTCTGCATGGCAGAAGATTGAACAGGGTGCCTCTTCCAGTCCCCTCCAACTCTATGATTCTCTGGTGCTTAAAATGCACAAATCAGGCAACTCAAGAATGGAAGCTGAGTATAAACCGTTATATACTTTTGGCCAAGCAGAATTGCAGAAGCAAAAAATGCAGTTAATTAGCTAATTCAGTTTATGACTAAGTCTCCACCCCTCAGTTTATCTGCCCTGTGATTATCAAAGCCCTATTTCGTTCTATTTCTGTTCTACTTTGCAACTTTCGGCTCTGTCAACCTAGGTCGTCTTGACCTAGTTCCCAACTATCTATGTAATTAAACTGTAGACGCATGATTAAAGTCTTCCTTTAGATCTTGCTAACTAAAATTTTCAATTTCCTCCTTTGCACTTACATATTAGCTACAATATTGTGACATGAAGTAATCATGGAAGGAGGAGGTTCCATCAATCTTAATGGTTGTCACTGTACAAACCCTAGTGATGCAACAGGAAGGAGGGTGTTGTTTTTTTGTTTTTGTTTTGTCCAGCCAGAAAGATTTTAAGAAGTAGAACAAAATACCTTGCCTTGAAATGAAATCACCAAAGCCTCCTTTATAAAGCGGTTTCCAATAACATAATCAATACATACAAGGAAAACAGCATAAACATAAAATTAACAAGACAATATAAGCATTAAAAAGCACAATCGCACATATATATTTAAAATAATCCTGCCTGTTCAAGGCAATTTAAAAGGCCGGGCCGGGGCTAGTGCAATTTTAGAGGGCCTGGGAAATTAGATAGAGTCTATGGTTGTACATTTCCAGGGCCTAATAGAGGAAAGTAACCTTGGTAGAAGAAGATATGGCCAATTTCTACAGTATCTGGGGCAGAGCTAAAACTAGTCGTTCTCAAAGGTTTGTTTAAACCACCAGGTCTTCATCCTCTTACGAAAGGAGGGGAGGGATGGGGCCTGTCTTATTTCTCTAGGAAGGGCATTCTAGAGTTGGGGGGCCATCACCGAGAAGGCCCTCTCTCTCATCCCCACCAACTGTGCTTGTGATGGTGGTGGGAGCAAAAGGAGGGTCTCCCTGGTTCATAGAGGGAGATGCAATCGCAAAGATAGGTGGTGCCCGAACCGTTTAGGGCTTTATAGGTCATAACCTGCACCTTGAATTTGGCTTGGCAGCTTATTGGCAGCCAGTGAAGCTGTTTTAAAAGGGGCATTGTATGCTCCCCATAGTTTGCTCCAGTAAGGAGCCTGGCTGCCGCCCTTTGGAGCTTCCGGGCTGTCTTTAAGGGCAGCCCCATGTAGAGCACATTGCAATAATCCAATCTGGATGTAACCAAGGCGTGGACCACGCTGGCCAAGTCAGACTTCATGAGGTATGGTCACAGCTGGTGCACGATTTTGAGTTGTGCAAAGGCTCTCCCGGCCACCGCCGACACCTGGGCATCAAGCGACAGCGTTGAGTCCAGGAGGACCCACAAGCTACGGACCTGCGCCCTCAGGGGGAGTGTAACCCCATCGAGCACAGGTTGCCACCCGATACCCGTGCTCGGCGCCACAACTGACCAGGAGGACCTCTGTCTTATCTCGATTAAGCTTCAACCTGTTAGCCCTCATCCAGTCCATCATAGCAGTCAGACACTCGTTCGGGGTCTGGGAGACTTCCTTGAAGTTTGGTGGAAATGAGTAGTAGAGTTGGGTGTCGTCTGCGTACAGATGGCACCCAACTCCAAAACTCCGGATGACCTCACCCAGTGGTTTCATGTAGATATTAAAAAGCATGGGGGATAGAATGGAATCTTGCGCGACTCCACACCAGCTGCTTGGCCAAGGCACATGAAGGTATGCTGGATGCTCTTCTCTCTGTCAAAGGCCAAGATAATCCTTTTCTGGAATCTTGGTTTCTTGGGGGATGTTTGACCTTTTTGATACCTGTGAAGTCTGAGATGGGTTCTGGGAGAGACGTTGATCCTGGAACCCCTACAATGTGAGCAGTTCTGATATATAGTCCATGCTTGAATTTCCCCCTTCACATTCTACCCCTTCCTCTTGTTCTTCTCCAGAGCCGAATTCGCAGGATGTGGAATGACACTGTTCGAAAGCAGTCAGAGTCCTCCTTCATCACTGGTGATATAAACAGTTCTGCATCACTTAACAGAGGTAATTATGGAATTTTCTAATATATTTTATATTACATCTAATATTACTAATAATATTACAATATAATGGTAATATATCGTAATATGGCAATATATAATACTAATATTGTACTATGCTAATAATATAATACATTGTATGCATATATATATCTTGTAAGCTGCTCTGAGTCCCCTTCGGGGTGAGAAGGGCAGCATATAAATGTCGTCAATAAATAAATGAATAAATAATATTTGTTCCTTAAGAGTTTACATGGCAGTGTCCTGTCAGCTTGGTTCTTTTGCATAAAAATGTACAGTTAAGAAGGAAAGAATATATAGCGAGCTACTTGTCATAAACTAAAAAGAATTTATTTTTAAATGCTTTTATTTTTAGCATACAGTTGCAAAAATAATGGAATTGAAGGGCTGTGGGGCAGGATAAGATGGGAGAAAAACAGAATATTCTTAGGTCAGTTATGTGTCCCGATCATGAAACTTTTCTATACCAATGCAGTAGGCAGTGGGAAAGAGAGAGATCTACTCAACATTGTTGAACATGAGAGGGAGGAACAATTTTGAAGGGTTTTTTTGAGGGAGGGGGGAAGTATTTGAAAAACTCCTGCATGCTGCTGCAAAACATCGTTTTTCAGCATCCAGAATTGATGTCTGACTCACAGTCCTGGATTTATGGAATATCTCTGTTCCAAAATGTGGAGTAACTAATAAACTGACTTAGGTACAAGTACAAAACTTTATTACGGTCACTGGCCAGCACAAAGTGGGGCACAAGCGCCCCAGGAGGGAAAGGACAACTCCCCAGTAAAGCAGTTATTTAAAATTAGATTAGAAAACAGTTTAAAATCACATTTTAAAAGACAGAATATTGTAACAGGAACCGAAGGGGGGGAGGGGAGAGATTGATAGGAGGGGTCAAAAACACTGGGGGGGGGGCACTAAAGGGGAAGGGAGGGGCACATTGCGGGTCTAGTAGCATTTCAGCTGTAACATGTTGCTCTAACTACATTCCCAACAGGGTGTTGCCATGTGGGTTCAATAATCATCTGTCTAATTTTAAATGCAGCAGCACAGAACTTAGCAACACTGTAAGTTATTGTGTTAGAGACCCTAAATTGGGTCTTCTTAGGTCCATGCAGTCACAGGAACACGTAAGGAAGGAGACAGTCCCAAAAGAGATCAAAAAACAAGGTTTATTTTAATTTCTTCATGAAGAAGACGGACAGCCTGGTAGCATGCGCAGATGCTACCCTTCAAGTGACTGCCATGCCCCCTTGGCTTTTGACCACTAAATATATAACCTCAAGTAAACAAGAACATTTTTTTGTCATGGAAAGTACTCTCTTTCCAGCCCCTTTCCCTTGACCTTTTGATGGAAAGTACCTTCTTGTACAGGCAGACTCTGCACTTTACTACAACCTTTGAAGTTAACCACAACACATCCTGTGTAAGAAAGTACCTTCTTGTACCTCTACACATCACATCTTGTTTCTTAAAAACATTTTCTTCCGTATTGCTCTTTTTAAGTCAGAGAAAGGGTATGTCTCTCTTTTGCTGTTAATTTCATTCAAAGCCCCTTGCTCAGCATCCTTCAATTGTAGAGTTAGAATCCAAAAGCAGCAAGGTGGAATAATATTTTTCACTGTGCCCTGGGTATTTTAAAAGCTATGGTCTAATGCAGTGGTTCTCAACCTGGGGTCCCCAGATGTTTTTGGCCTACAACTCCCAGAAATCCCAGCCACTTCACCAGCTGTTAGGATTTCTGGGAGTTAGAGGCCAAAAACATCTGGGGACCCCAGGTTGAGAACCACTGGTCTAATGAGATTAGATCTAAGATCTCTGTAGAACATGCAATGAAGAAGCACGTGCTCAGTGGTTTCTACATGACCAGACTCACAGGGGCATAGTCTCTGCTTGAAAGGGGTTCTCCGATACCTCCCCTCCAATACAGCCGATGGGAAGGCATGGCATCTTGCCAGGGTAAAAGCCCTTCGGTGTTTGGGCACCTCCAGGTCTGTTAGGTATGCCATGGGGGCAATGAGGTATCTAGTGGCTTCCCTAACAATAAAGGCTGGGAAACAAGTTAGGTCAAATTGGCGCTCTATGTCCAGGATCCATTGCTTCTCGGCCTTTTGGCTATTTATTTGTCGTGTCAGATTAACCAGTCAATTATATTACATTTCTAACAGAACAAAGCAAACAAACAGATAAAATACAACATTTGTGAGTTTGGTAGTTGGTTAAATGTCCTTTGACCAGTATCTGGCCACTTGGAGTGCTTCTGGTGTTGCTGCAAGAAGGTCCTCCATTGTGCATGTAGCAGGGCTCAGGTTGCATTGCAGCAGGTGGTCAGTGGTTTGCTCCTCTCCACACTCGCATGTCGAGGATTCCACTTTGTAGCCCCATTTCTGAAGGTTGGCTCTGCATCTCGTGGTGCCAGAGCGCAGTCTGTTCAGCGCCTTCCAAGTCGCCCAGTCCTCTGTGTGCCCAGGGGGGAGTCTCTCATTTGGTATCAGCCATTGGTTGAGGTTCTGGGTTTGAGCCTGCCACTTTTGGACTCTCGCTTGCTGAGGTGTTCCAGCGAGTGTCTCTGTAGATCTTAGAAAACTATTTCTAGATTTAAGTCGTTGACGTGCTGGCTGATACCCAAACAGAGGATGAGTTGGAGATGTCACTGCCTTGGTCCTTTCACTATTGGCTGCTACTTCCTGGGGATGTCAGGTGGTGCAATACCGGCTAAGCAGTGTAATTTCTCCAGTGGTGTAGGGCGCAGACACCCCGTGATAATGCGGCATGTCTCATTAAGAGCCACATCCACTGTTTTAGCGTGGTGAGATGTGTTCCACACTGGGCATGCATACTCAGCAGCAGAGTAGCACAGCGAAAGGGCAGATGTCTTCACTGTCTCTGGTTGTGATCCCCAGGTTGTGCCAGTCAGCTTTCGTATGATATTGTTTCTAGCACCCACTTTTTGCTTGATGTTCAGGCAGTGCTTCTTGTAGGTAAGAGCACGGTCCAGAGTGACTCCCAGGTATTTGGGTGTGCTGCAGTGCTCCAGTGGGATTCCTTCCCAGGTGATCTTCAGAGCTCGGGATGCTTCTCTGTTCTTGAGATGAAAGGCACATGTCTGTGTTTTAGATGGGTTGGGGATCAGCTGGTTTTCCCTGTAATAGGCAGTAAGAGAACCTAGAGCTTTGGAAAGCTTCTGTTCTACCATCTCAAAGCTCCCTGCTTGAGCGGTAATGGCACGATCATCAGCATAGATGAAACTCTCTGTCCCTTCCGGCAGTGGCTGGTCATTTGTGTAGATGTTGAACATGGATGGAGCAAGCATGCTCCCCTGAGGCCTTTTGGCTAAGATCAAGTGTAGTAACTGACTTAGGTTTAAAACTGAGTTTGGAAACAAGGCTCTTCTATAACTGAGGAAAAAGATATTCCAAATTCCATTCTGAGATGGAAGGTTGTGACCAAATTCTCCCCCATGGTGAGCCATGTATTCCAAACTCATCAAGAAAGGTCTCCATGCACCATGAGCCCAATACCGTGCTGTGAAACCTTTTTTACATTAGCAGAAGTTATTTCACAGATGCTTATTTCTTCTTCAGACCTGAAACAAGTTATTATTGTGTGAATGATACCCAGATGCCTGCTCTTTCTGAAGCAAAAAAGAATAAATTAGGATTCTCTTTTGTATAACTTAGTGGTGAATAGCCATGTTCTGTGCTGAGCTATTATATACATGCTAAATTATTGTGATTAATTTCACTGGGGATACTTCAATTTTACTCCATTCAAAGATGGGATATGGAAGAGGTGGATCTTCCCTGGGGTTTATTTTACAATTTCTGAAGAGCACAGAGAACATCATTACTGAAAGGTGTTACATTATTTGTGTATTAATAATATTTGGACCTTTCTTTGATGTGCCTTCAAAGCTCTGCTAATATCTGACTATCGCAGAAATGACTTGTGATTACTGTTATATATGCATTGGAGCCTCTTTGCTTGCTAGAATAAAATACTGCAACAAGAAAACATATGTTGGGACAACAATTTCTTGCCTTTTATTCAGCAAGCTAGACAGCAACCACCCTGCTCCCTCAATATTGTTTACTTACCTTATTTATGCTCTGCCCTTCTCCCTGTAGGGACTCAAGGTGGCTAGCAATTCAACACTTTGGTCACAATTTAAAACAGACCTCACAACCTCTGAGGATGCTTGCCATTTCAACAAATATAAAATTATTAGTATTTCAGTGGGAAGTGTGGGCCTACTTTTGGCTGATGCGATAGGATTGTTGTTGTTGTGTGCATTCAAGTCGTTTCAGATTTAGTTTGACCCTGAGCGAGGGCTAGGTAAATGACCTTGGAGGGCCGCATCCGGCCCCTGGGCCTTAGTTTGAGGACCCCTGCTCTAGAACATGGCCATATTTTGTTGTTGTTCATTCGTTCAATCGTCTCCGACTATTCGTGACCTCATGGACCAGCCCACGCCAGAGCTCCCTGTCGGCCGTCACCACCCCCAGCTCCTTCAAGGTCAGTCCAGTCACTTCAAGGATGCCATCCATCCATCTTGCCCTTGGTCGGCCCCTCTTCCTTTTACCTTCCACTTTCCCCAGCATCATTGTCTTCTCTAGGCTTTGCTGTCTCCTCATGATGTGGCCAAAGTACTTCAACTTTGTCTCTAGTATCCTTCCCTCCAATGAGCATTCGGGCTTTATTTCCTGGAGGATGGACTGGTTGGATCTTCTCGCAGTCCAAGGCACTCTCAGCACTTTCCTCCAGCACCACAGCTCAAAAGCATCGATCTTCCTTCGTTCAGCCTTCCCTAAGGTCCAGCTCTCACATCCGTAGGTTACTACAGGGAATACCATGGCTTTGACTAGGCGGATCTTTGTTGCCAGTCTGATGTCTCTACTCTTTACTTTTTTATCGAGATTGGACATTGCTCTCCTCCCAAGAAGTAAACGTCTTCTGATTTCCTGGCCACAGTCTGCATCTGCAGTA